AAAAAAAAGAAAAATTGTTGTCAAAATTTCCATTCATCGTTCACTGTAATATGTCGTATCCGTAAAAAAGTCAGCAAAAAACAACAATAAGAATAAAACCTGTTGATTTTTTAAAAGGTGAACAAAAAAGCTTGTCACGTTTATTTATTTTTTGCAGTTATTAAATGTCAAAAAAAAAAGTTATCAAAATTGAGGAGAAAAACTGTCAGTTTAACTGTCAGTGCTTTGCTGTTGTTTTTACCTCAGATTAACTTTGCCCTGTGAAATGCAATTAATTTCAACGCTTGAAAATATTAGCTTATTTCAATAATTTTTACTAAGAAAAAAAAATCTACAAAAAACTATTCAATTTTTAATCTTTTCTCTTTTAGAAAGATAAAGTTAACCTATAAGGAAAGTCAAATTTTGTGTTTAACTCAAAGTAAATCAGCTTGAAAAGCAAGACAGTTGTCATTTATATCCTTAAAAATTTATTATCTGTTAAGAAGTGATCAGAAGTTTTTAAACAGTGTTCTGTTGCAAAATACTCAGCTTTTTTTATGCTTAAAAATAATAAAAGAACAATTACATTTATCAGTAATGTTAAGAATATTTTTGATATTTTTTTTAAACTCTATAATTATTTACACTGTATAATTTTTAGTTTTAGGAAAATTTTTTTGTTTTCAAATAATTATACAACCAAAAAAACTGTATGTAGTTTTTTTTTTCCTTTGAACTGTAAACTGTTCCACAGCTAATTGATAGCTTCTGAAGTCTGTTTCATACTTTTATTATTATTGGTATACTGTTCATTACTGAATTCCAAAATGTTCTGAATTTCTAATAGTTCTTAGGGTTTTCTTTAAATAAACTTTTTATTGCCACATTTATACTTACCAAAGCATCAAAGATTACCTATAAATTTGACACCAAAAAATTACAGTCAATCAATTGTCTGCAGATTTGTTGCAAAAGATAAATCATCAATAAAAGGTAGTAGAAAAAATTTGAAATAAGTTCTTTTTTTTTTGGGAGAGGGGAGTTATTTATCACTATAATATATCAATTAGTCACTTAAATTTGGTAAGGTCTATATAAAAAGTTTTTTTTGGTAGAAGAAAATTTCAAAACTTTAATATCGGTCTTTGAATGAAGGAGTTTTCTGTAAATTATAATGGTATTTATTGAAGTATCAAAGAAACAAAGAAAGAAACAAATGTAAGTACTGTATCCAAGTTTTTGGTTGTTGCAGACTTTTTTTTTTTCTTCTTCTTCTTTTTGAAGTAATTAATTAGATA